CTTTCCTGGAACTGGCTCTGCAGACCACAGAGATCCACCTGGCTCTGCCTCCCGAGTGCTGGGATTAAAGGCGTGCGCCACCACCGCCCGGCCCGGGTTTCTATTTCTAAGCAGCAACAGGGCCTGCGTGATGAAGCAAGGAACTTGGGCTCGGCCTGACACTGCTTCCTGGGTCCCAGCTTGCCCCAGCAGCAGGGCCACTAGCTGGCTCCCCTCAGAACAGCTGTGTCAGGGACAGGAGAGCACTCACCTTACCATGTTCACTTTCATTCACACTTACAGGACAGGGACCCGATTCCCCTCAGGCCGTGGAAGCGAGCTGAATGCTCGCAAGGTCAGAAGTAAAGGCACCGGCCCATGTGGACATGTAAGAAGTGGTTTTATTCCAGGTGTGTTTCTTCATAAAGACAGCGTCCCCCGGGACAGCTTTAGTGGCACATGCTTTGGTCAAGAAGAAAAGCAAAAACAGAGTTGGACCGAGTCCCCCAGAACGGAGAGCCGACAAGTGCAGAGTCTGGTCTGACCACAGCAAACGGGGAGAGGCCTTCTCAAGGCTCAGCAGCCGTCAGTACATTCACAGAGAGAAGCCCAGGTTCCCAGGCCCAAGGTCCACACGGGAGCAGAGCCCAAGTCTCTAGGGGAAAGCCTCTACCTTGGGCCCGGTTCTGCCCCTTACTTCGGCAGGAGGATTCCCAGGGGCTCGGGGGATCCCTGGCCAGTTCTGCAGAAAGCAGTGTATGAGACATTGTCACAGGAGGGGCCGAAGCTTGGTCACACGGTGAGAGGCCCCTAGGCTGCGTCCAGGGCGCACACATATTTGGCACAGAACTGCTGACAGGATGCTGGTGAGAGCCAAAGGTGAAGGAGTCTGCTGGAGAACCTTCCAGAGCTGGTACTATCAACCGGGTACTTGGCTCCTAACATCTGGCGGTGGACAAGCCAGGCCCAGCAGGGAGGGTGATAGGGGCCGGCGATGCAGAGAGGTGGCAGATCTCAGCAAGAGCAGAGGATCAGATCCTTTGGAAACCAGGAAGCCGGGGAAATCCAGGCTCCACCCCCACCTAGGAAACTGCATATGTACGTACACATGCCATATTCTGGGGGATTTCTAGACTTTCTGGAGTCTGTAGATTCCCTATGAATGTGTGACTGTCTGGTCTCTGAAAGAAAGACTGGTTGCCCCTGGGGTAAGAGTGGCCTCCTTAGGCTGTCTTGCTTTGGAGGAAGACCCTAAGAGTTCTGGCTACCAATAGTCTTTTACCCAAGATTATACTGTGAAAGCCAGTGGGAGGGAGGCGGCCGGGATTCCAGGATGCTATCAATGTGTGTTCTCTGTGTTCTCAGGAGTGAGAGAGGAAAGAAGAAGGAATTCTCTGCAGGGACAGGACCCACTAGCCAGCTTCGCAGCTCACTGCAACAGGAGGCCTTTGGAGAAGGGTCTGAGTGCTAGGTTTGGCCTGGGTGACTCGGTTCCTACTGATTAGGAAATGGTTATACTCCAGGAAGGGGGTCCAAACCTGGCCAGCCACCATGCCCCAGGATGCTGTGCTTACAGAGGCAAAGACCTTTGAAAAAAGCAGGGGTCCAAACAGGGAGTGAGGACGAGGGTATTCTAGGGTGTATGACCAGGACCAGTTAGTGCAGACAGGGTTACCAACTGGTCATAAAGGCCTACGCGTGAGATCTTGGCCTGACTGACGGTTAAGCAGAGGTGGAGTCTGCTTCATAAATTATGCCCCCAGATCCCTCTGCAGCCTCTTGCTAAGAATATGGCCACCTGGAGGGGCTGCAGGCGTATGCTGGGCTTGGGGCCTGGGCTAGCAAAGCATGGACAGGATGATGTCTTGGAAAGAGACCTCATTTTTTTCCTGGTACTTCACGATGTTTTCTTTGAATCCCCATCCTCTTCTCCCAGGATGCATCCCTCCCTCACCCACCCGCTGGACTGAGCCCCTCCACCCTTCCTGGTTTCTAGCTGCCCCCCCCCCCCCCCCCCCCCCCTCCCCCCCCCCCCCCCCCCCCCGCCTTCAGCCTCTTCACACACACGCTGCCCCCCGTCCTCTTGTGTTGACCTCAGGCTAGCCCTGTGACCCAACCTGGCCCCTCGGTAGGCTTTCCATCCTTGTCCCTACCAGGCAACAAGGGGAAGGTCCACACACCACTGTCTGGGGCCCCCAAAGGGCCAAGACGAAGGGCCAGGAGCAACTGCCGAGTCTCTGGCCAGGACAGCTGCACACTAACCATCTCCGCTCCCGGAGCAAGACTGGGGTGGCACAGAGGGCATGGAGCATGCCCCCACACCCTCCCTGAACGAGCTTGGGAGAAACGCGCGCGCGCAGTAGGGGTGTGTACCGATGATCCAGTAGAAATGTGAAGAGATGGGAAACAGCCCGAGTGACACTCCCCCACCCTAACCCCTTCCAGTCCCCAAGTCTCATGCAGAAGGTCCAGGAGGCTGGGGGCCACCGTCATGTGTGTGGCAGCAGTTCCCATTGCTGGGCCTGGGCATCTGCCTGACACTTGCTGGTCACCAGCTGGGCAGGCTTTGTCTCCAGGCAGAGGCCGCTGACGGAATGCTGGATGAAAGAGCCTTTCCTTCTCCATTTCTGGGTAGAAGGGAGAGGGGAAAGGAAGAAGGAAACGATTAAAAAATAACAATTATATGAGCTGGGGGCGGGGCTCCGTGATGCAGTGCTTACCCGACATATCCAAGGCTGCAAGCTCTGTGCCCAGCACAGGGCCAAAAAGTAGTCTGTACCTGCGTTTCACATGCACATACATAATACTGCATATGCCTAGGACACACCACACTCATTTATTTGCTGTGTGTGTGTGTGTGTGTGTGTGTGTGTGTGTGTGTGTAACTGTATGCATATGTATTTCCTGCACAGGTGTGTGAGCTTGCACATTCGCAGAGGGCAGAGGTTGATGGCAGTTGTCTTCCTCCATCTCTCTCTTATTTTTTGATACAGGGTCTCTCACGGAACATGGAGTTCATCGATGCAGCTGGACAGGCTGGTCATCGAGCCCCAGGGATCCCCCTGGGTCCTCCTCCCCAGTGCTGAGATTACAGGCTGCACCTGGCCTTTTATGTGGGTGCTGGCCATCCAAACTGAGGTTTTCGTGATTGTACAGCAAACACTTTAGTCTCTGTGCTGCCGTCTCTCCAGCTACCCCTCCCCCCCCATCTAAAGCAGACAGTGACCCTCTCCAGGGCACTCACTTCTGTAGGATGGCACAGAGTTACTATACAGATCAAAGGAAGCAGCGCTGCCCACGGGCTGTGTGTTTTATTTGACTTGCATGGCATCATTTAAAACCCAGCTTAGCTATCGCATAAAAATCTGCATTTCCAGTTTCTCTTTGGAGACAAGACCCAGTTCTATCAGTTGGCTGGGCTGGGGCTCCCCCTGCTCTCTGCTTCCGGGCAGAGCTCTCATTCTCCAGCTCTCTGGAGTCCCAGCTTGGTCTTGGTCTTCTCCCCTAGCAGCTTCCCCTAGTCAGTGAGCCCTGGCCTAGGTGAATCTCTTCTCGATGGGGGAAAAAAAAAAGTTTTCATCTCCCTGCAACCCTGCGTGCCTGGCCGGGCCTACAATCATGAGTCGTAGTACCCTGTCCCCTCAAGTGGGAAGTGGCCGTCACGTCTGCAGTCACGCTCATGCAGTGTGGTGAGGCCGGGAGACTCGAGTCCTCACTAAAGGGATCCTAGCATTTTCTTCTCCCAAGTTTGACAAGGTGAGGGGAGGAAGTCGTTCCCATAGGACATTTCAGAAGATGACATAGATAAAGGATGGTGTGTTATCTGGAATATGGAGAAAGGATGAGAGGCCCAGGTTTCGAGGTTTGGAGGAGATTGAAGAGCAACCAACAGACGTTTTGTTTCTTGCCCAGTTTCCTTTCGTGCAGCCACATCCCTCTTCTTACTTCCACCTTACCTTCCTAAGAGGTGACAGAGCTCAGGACCATGAAACTGGAGTTAGGGGACACTGGGCAGCTAGGGGACAGAGATGAGCCGCACTCAACTGTGGAGACGGTGTTGTTGAAAATTTGCCTTAGCTTCCCCATGCACACACCTGCATTTCCAGTTCCTCTTTGCATACCGGACTGCTCTGACAGCCTCTCACATTTATCTCCGCTGGCCAAACCTCCAACAACGTCAAGCTGGGACTACTATGGCCTCTTCTCCCCCAGGAGAAGGGGAGGGGCCTCCCCTAGCCCGTGCGTGCGTGCGTGCGTGCGTGCGTGCGTGCGTGCGTGCGTGCGTGCGTGCGGCTCAGGCTCAGCGCTGCCTTGGTACCTCGCTCTCAACAATGTGGTGGCTGCTCCTTTCACCTTTTTTCCAGCTTCCTCAAGAGCTGGGCCATGCTCTCCCTTTTTCTCTTCTTGCACAGGATCTGTACATTCCTTGGCACATGCACGTGATGAGCAAATGAATAACCCACTGGTAGAATCCTTACTTCTGCTCAGAACTACTAGCCAGCCTTTCTCACTCGCTCTCCCAGTCACTCCATTCTGGGCCTGCGCAGACACAGAGCAGCCCAATATTGTATGAGTGAGGGACCTGGGCAATGGCTGACCTCGAACCTCTGACTCTATGACTGCACAATGTCTCTCAGGAACCTCGAGGACACGTGAAGCCCAGCTGGCCTTGGTTGGAATCAAGGCTCATTTGGGACCTGGAAGGAAAGCCCAGAATCCAGAAGGTACTGACGCTGGGAGACCTGTTCACGTGTCCTCCACGGTGGTGAGAGAGGCATGATAACCCGAGTGCCGGGGGAGTGGTGGGTGAGGGCTAGCGGGGCTTGTAGGGAACACAACACACACAGCTTGCGAACATATGGGTCCTGGGGATCAAACTCGGGTTGTTGGGATCGGCAGCAAGCACCTCTCCAATCCACAAAATGCTTATATAGAGGATTGTTTGAGTTGGGGCTGCCTGGGCAGACACTGAGAAGCTCTGACCTGAACAGAGATGTTAATGGGCTCAAGGATTCCCCCCCAGGACGGGGTCTCGGCTCCAGCTGAAGGGCAGACTGCCCCAGCCCCACCACAGAAAAGAGCAGGGGTCCAGCTAGATCTTGTAGGCTGAAAGCTAGCGGAAGCGGCCAGCCAGTCCAGCAAGCAGGCTATAGAGCGCTTCCCTGCCTGCTCACCCTGCCTCCCACCCTGCCTCTCTCACACACAAAGGCTGGAAGGAGAGAACCTGGCTGCTTTTCCAGAACAGAATAGCAAACTTCCACTCATCCCTAAAGAAAGAATTGGCCCAGGCAAACAGAAGAAGCGTGGGAGGAAAGCCCCACAGGCTCAGTCCGAGAGCCAGCCCCGCCCCCCACCCCTTGCATGACCTTCAGCAGGCTGTGTTACCAGAGGGATGGGCATGGGAAGGACGTAGCAGCCTGGGTCTTGGGTCCCAGGCTCTGGGGAGCACGGAGCCCTTTTAACCTGGACGGGTGCCGTAGTGAAGAGAGGGGCTGCCTCCAGAAATCTAGCCTTTAGTGCTCTGTCACTAGATGCTGTGTGCCCCGGACAAGTGACAGCACTTTTCTGGGCATCAGTTTTTGCTTCCACAAGTAAGCCTGAGCTATTTCTCAGGACACATCTGAGGCTAGTCATGTGAGCTTGCAGATCACTGTATGTGGACCTCAGATTCCCAGTCAGCCAGCAGTCAAGACATCCTTGTTAAGTTCTGGCTTACATCTGTGGCCTTAGGAGTCACACTGACCTGGGTTTGAATCCTGGTTAGTTCCGCCCTTTCCCAGCTGTGGGAGCTGACAGTCTGTGTCTAGGGAGCCCTGGCTCACTCACGGCTCTATCGCGGGCGTGGAGCCGGGCGTGGAATGCGAGTGCCTAGTGGGCCACTTTTGGTAAGCAGAACTGGCACTGCAGAATGAACCGAGTGCCGGGTCGAGGCACCCGATGCTAGTTGAGAATTATCTTACCAGGTAGCTGGGGGGGGGCGGAGGGGGGATGTGGGGGGGGGGAATGCGATGATTGTCGGTGTGAAATGTCTAGCAGTCTGGGAGTCAGCTAGCTCTTATTTGAGCTTTGTGGTTATTGTCAAAGGCTGGGCAAGCAGCACTAACAAGACAAATTGCTCTGCCCTCAGACTGGCAGGACTAATGTTAAACAAACACTTAGCCGCGGTGTCCGCTCATGAGCGAAACGATATGCTGGACCCAGATGACGCCGGAGGCTCCTCGGATCCTCATTCTAGAGGGTTCATCTGAGATTACGTGCCTCAAGGTGGGACTCCCCCGGTCAGTGCCTTCCATCCCCGCTCAGTGTCCCTGGGGGCTGTTGGCCCTCTGTAGCCGGGGGTTCAGGCTTTACCTGTTTGCCTTCTTTAGGGCTGCACGCTTGCAGTATTACTGGGGATCCAGGGGAGGACATTAAGGTGGAGGTGGCAGCCAGGCATTTCCCTTGCTGCTGGATGAGGTGGTCGCTGAACAGCCATGCCTGCAAGACAGGGAAAGGACAGCTCTGGCTGGACAGACGTGGGCAGACAAGGGATTAGGCAAAGAGACTGGGGACTTTTTCAGACATTTTTTCACAAATAGCTGTAGAGGCGGAGGGGGGTATGCATCAGAGAGTTTCAATTTTTGCTTCATGTTTGGAAATGTTCCTAATCAAATATTCAGATGAGGAAGCTCAGCCGGGACCAGCCAGAAGGCAGTTGCTCCAAGGGATGCTGGAGATAGGGAAGAACGAAGCGGCTAGGTCCACGATGGGGGTCTCCACGACCTGTTCTAGAGCTGACATGGGTGTGGCACTCACGCATTTGCTATGGAGACCCACAGCCCATCACACTCATCCGAGCTGTACTCCAGCATAGAACTAGGCAGCACCTCTTCCTTTAGAAGAGGAAGTGAGGGGACACAGGGCTGGAAAGGGATGGGCATGCGGCAGGGGCAAAGTGTGAGGAGCCCTGGGAAGGAGGTTTATGGAGGATGCAGACAGAGAGACCAATGAGGAGGAACAGAGAGAAGTCCTAATCCCACTCCTGGCCCACTTGGCTCCTGGCCTGTTCTTAGCGCTCCCTCCAGAGCCCTAAGCACCTTACCTGAGCTGGTGGAGGGCTCTTAGCCGACCCTCTGCAGATCCCCATTCCAAGCAGGAGATCACCTGCTGTGTTTGGGCCCTGGGACTCTAAGCAGTTGATGCCTTGTTTAATGACGCCAGGGAGCACTTCCTTCGCTGGGACCCTGAGGAGAAAGGCAGTGTCAGGCTGCTTCTCTGCACACACCAGCTTACCCACCCCTTCCTCCAGAGGGCAGCACACAGTCACTGAGGTCTCTGACTGGCAGGCCTGGCTGGGTGGTAGAGGGATTGGGATATGGAGGGTATGGGGGGATTTTTAGGGGGTGAGCAGGATTGTAAGAAGAAGAAGGAGCAGCCTCAGCTCTAGCAGGTTCTTATGGGAGTCCCAAGGCCTCCATTAGAGGCCAGGCCTGAGACCCAGGGGGACCCCGAGAGGACACTCAGGCCTGACTGACAGGACTCAGCCCAGAAGCTGATACCTGGGAACCTAAAGGTGACATCAACACCCAGTCTCAAAATAACATAGAAAGAATGATTTTGGGAGTGGATAACTTGAAGTACCCAAACACGCAAATATGTTCAGTCTCGCTATAATTAAAGAATGCATGTTAGAGAGCAATTACTGCTTGTTTCTCAGATATCTGTGTGAGAGAATGTGCATGTATGTGTGTTTTAAACAATGCCCAATGTGTTTTAAACAATGCCTGTAAGGCTGGATCTTGTCCTCCTGCACCAGTTGAGAGCATAAATTGTGGGAAAGCATAAGTATGAAATCAAGCATGAAAGTCCTTAAAACGGGCACGTCTTTGTCCTAAGAATGCCAGTTTAAGAAATGTATCCCATGGGGGAGAGGGGGCGGGCCCTGGAGAGATGGCTCAGCGGCTAAGAGCACTGGCTGCTCTTCCAGAGCACCCAGGTTCAATTCCCAGCACCCACAGAGCAGCTCACAACTGTCTGTAACTCCAGTTCCAGGGATCCGACACTCTCACACAGACATACATGCAGTCAAAACACCAATGCACACAAAATAAAAATAAATTATTAAAAAAGGAGAACCTATTCTTTAAAAAAAAGAAGAAGAAAAGAAATTTATCCCTTGGGAATAAGCTTGGTGTGTTCAAAGATATTTGTATCAGAATGACTGATACTGAAAGCATTGGACAGTTCTGGTTATCCGGCCAACAGCTGGGATGCAGATACAACCACAGGATAGAAACCCTGCACCCTACAAATGACGGCGAAAGACAACCTGAAAACACTTGCCCCGCTGCTGAGGTAGGCTTCAAGCTATCCCATTATTAAAACATCTCACGTGCCAGGAGAATGCTTACATACATGTACACGTGGGCATACACACTGATCACCTCTGGCCAGCAAACCTAGGGAGGCTGCCATCTCCAGCCGACACAGGCTTGAATACTTGATTTGGGGAGGCCTGTGAATTATGCAGCCATCGCAAAGCAACAGGGAGCCAGGAGCGCTCAGAATCCGACCCCAGGCCTGATGCCCCCTGCTCCCTAGCACCTCTGTCCAGAGAGAGCCTGGACCCTGGGAGGGGACATGTCTGCCATTCCTTAATGCGGAAACCCTTGCAGGATCTCAGCTATAGCAGGTCTCCTCCAGGCTGTTCAGGAGCCCATGGATTCCCCAGAACTGACTTGCTCTCAGGGAGCCTTGGAGAGCTCACTTCATTGCCCATCACACGCCTGGGACTCCGCTTCAGAACCAGAGTTGTTGTACAGATCCAGAACAGAGGCTGCAACTGCAGGTCCTGGGCTGAGTGTGGCCATCAGACACATTCCGTCTGACCCACACAGAGGGCTTACTGCTGCTTTTAGTCAGTGGGAAATTTAAAAATGAGGGGGCTGGCAAGATGGCTCAGCAGGTAAAGGCACTTGCTGCTGCACCTGACAACCTGAGTTCAGTCCTAGGGACCCACGTGGTGGAAGGAAAGAACTGACTTCTGAAACTTGTCCCTATGAGCATCTAAGTCCCCACCCACATTAAATAAATTAAGGTATGTTTGAAGGCTTAAGATGGCTCCGTTGAGGAAGCACATGCCATGCAAACAGCAAAGTCCCATGCAAAGCACCCGTATGAAACCAGGTATGGTCACTTGTTTCTGTAACCCCAGTGCAGGGAGTCGGGGGATGGGGGGAGACAGGCAGATTCTCAGTATGCTAGCCAGCCCCCCCAGTCTAGCCAATTGGTGACTCCCAAGGTCAGTGAGAGACCCTGTCTCCAAAGATAAGGTGGAACAAAGCAGCAGAAGACATCCAGCTCTGACCTCACTCACTTCCACTCACATCTGCATGCACTTCTGCGCATGTGCGCATGCGCGCGCGCGCGCGCGCGCGCGCACGCACACACACACACACACACACACACACACACACACACAGCTTGAGGAAGGAACTCCCGTGTTGGGCAGCAGTGTCAAGAGCCGATGAAGCTCCTGATGTGTACCTGCCAGAGCAGTTCTAGCTGGCCAAGATGGCCGTCATCATCATCATCATCATCATCGTCCTCAGCTGCCCAGCAGAGCAAGCCAGCCTGTCCTGTTTACGGGTGGTCCTCTGTGTTTCCCTCAGTGGCTTTCCTCTAAGCAGGGCTGCCATTGGACGGCACAATGCCTTTGTAGAAATAGCAGTAGCAGCCACTGCTCACGTTGCCCGACTTCCACCTACTAGGAAGTTGTTAGAGCAGACTATTTTGGTTAGAATGCTTCCTGCCATCTGCTTGAAGTTATTGTAATGAGTCTACAGTGGCCACTGTGTGACTGGCACCCTTATGAAGATGCGATTCAGTCTGCGCTGCTGTCCGGGACAGTCCTAATAAATGTGGTGGAGTAGCAGCTCCCGAGGCCCGCTGAAGCTAGGCCTGGACCTGAGCTGTGGCAGGATTGCAGGCAGGCCTAGCAAAGCGGAAGCTCCTTTATCCTTCTCACACTGTGGTGACCACCTGAGACGTGCAAGCAACCTAAGGATCCTCAGTGTGGAGCAGCATTGACATCACTCTGACCCACCCCTGGCCCCGTGACCTTTGAGCCCCCTAGATGGGAAGGAGCCATGGAATGAACAGCAGGGGAGTGGGGAGAGGGGGTCATTTTCTCCTGATTGAACACTGCACACTTAATATGCTGCCCTGTCTTGGAATGGATCCAGGTTTGGGGTAGAGCACTTCTAAACGGGTTCTAAAAGGACCCATTTCCATCTTCCCCGTATCCCTCCCCACAGGCTCCTCAGCTCACGCTGACCGAGTGTCCAAAATGCCCTCCAAATGTAGGAACCTTGACAGCGGGTAAAACACCGCTACTCTCTCTTCCTCCGCATCTCAGAAGCGCCACAGGAATGAGCATATGCTCGCACTCCAGGACGCTCACTCGCTGCGCTCTTCAGTCAATACTCCACACTTCTCAGCTAGGGGCCAGAGGGACCGAGGCTACTCGGGCCGCCAACTTGCTTCCAAAGAGGCCGGTGCAAGCTTGAATTGTTGTTCTGGAGTTTCTTGGAAATTTCCGGCAGTCGGTTGGGGCTTACTGCTTTCCAGGCAGGCTGTATTTGGAACCTGGAGTCGTCGTATTATCTGGGCTCAGCAGCTAGCTGTTTTCCAGGACTTGGCTGCAGCCTAACAGTGGGAACTTTGCAGGCAGTAGATAGGCCCTCAGAGAACAGAGGTTCCCCGCCTTGCAGAACTTGTAGGCAGCGAGGGGTGGAGTGTTCCAGAAAGCCAAGACAACATCATGAAAGAAACCAGCAACGGGATGAGCAGGCTCCCCAGGGGAGACTGTTCTGGAGGAAGGGGTTAACTCCAGACACTCCCAAGTCTTGCTCACTAGAATTTATTTGCTCAAAAATATTCCTTTTAAAAGATGCTTACCCAGTGTCTACTTTGTGAGAGGCACTATTCTAGGGGGCCAGAGGAGAGCCCTGGACAATACAAGCCATGGCTTCTGCCTCCGTGGCTTCTAGGCAAGTGCAGGAGGTGACATCAAATTAACCAGCCAGGAGTGTATGTGAGATGCTGATGTAGGTTCCAGAGGGATGCCAGGGAGGGATGCTGCTATCAATTTAGTGTTCGGACAAAGTCTCCCCGGGGAGGGTACAAATGAGTCCAACTCTGAAGAGGGGGAGGAAATAAACCGTGTGACCAAGACACCAAGAAGGATTTAGAATCGGAGGAAGGAGCCTGTGTGGCCCACCCCCTGTCACACTCATGGCCCCTTCTTACCTCCCTCAGCTCCCTTCAGAGCACACACAGCCACAACCCTGTTTGCATTTTGCTCCCTCTTTGCTAGAGCAAACATTTCCCTGTGCTTTTTTGGTCTCTGTGATTACATACTAATGGATGCATAATATTTGTTTAAATAGCTGTATCAGTGATCCACTGGGCCAGCCTAAGTGTTAGCCGCCTCTCATTTCCCCCCAGCAGCCTGGCTCAAAGGGTCTGTGGTCAACAGCTCTGTGCTCTGATGACTTTATCTTCTTGGGATGAGCTTCCAGCAGAGAGAGAGAGAGAGAGAGCAGGGTCAAAGGTGATAAAAGCAGCGTGGCCTCAAATGTGTAATGAAGTGTTGTTTTCCTAGGGAGACAATATCCATTTCTAGTCAGGGAGCCAGTCGGGTAAAAATGCAGCCGCACCACGCCTGACTGATAACTCGTGGTAACGCCGCCTCTGTTCCCTCAGAGCCTTTGAGGGGAGATGAACTCTTGGCAGCTGAAGGGTGCAGACTCAGGGCATCACAGGCCCCCAGCTCTGGAAGGGGGCTGCACTCACGTGAGCTCAGGATAGACATTCTCCAGGTACCAGCGGAAGGACTTGCAGTCCATCTTCTTCCTCTGCTCGATCCGTGTGGCCACACTGCAGGGAAAGACAGAGCCAGGGAAGGGCGGAGATGTGAGGAGGAAGGCCCTGAGGGACCACAGAGGGAGACTAGCCCCCACTTCCTACGTATCTCAGGTAGTCAGTACGAACATCTGACGTGATCACTTAGTTCTCCTGTATCTCCTGTGTCCTCTTTTTAATTCCTGCTGAGCTCACAGGGGCCACACTTCACCCTCAGCCTCTTACTTGTAGAGACTCCTGTTAGCATGTACAAACTTTCCTTATTTTTTTTTTTTTTGCAGAGGGTAGAAGATTTTGTCAACTTCCAGTTTAGGAGACAGGGTCTAATGTGAACATCTTTCCAGAGTTGGCGGGTCACAACCTTCTGATGTACCCTTGGGACATGCACCTCAGTCTCCTCACCTTGCTCAGCTACACCAACCGCAAAGGCTACCGAGGACCTGGGTAACCACCTATCCAAGTAAACTGGGACTCCACCACTGACCTTGGGGTTTTGTGAGGATCAAAAGGGGACATGGAGTGCTTAGCCGAGGGGAGATCCTCAGTAAATGTTAAAAGAAGTACTTCATGGCTTGCTTTTTAAGAATAGATAGAAATAAACAGAGGAGGGATGATTCATTTGCAATTGATCACTGACAACGTTTTCAAACTTTTCTGACGACAACATTAACTAGGTCAGCACACCTCACATCCCACGGCTACACAGGCCGAGGACACACGGGTGGGTGCACAGCCATACACAATGAAATGAGTTTCATAAAACGATACTTACCGTAGACTGCAATCAACTCTGATTTTTCTAGTCTGTTCAGCACTAAATTCATCTCTGGTGTCTTTCTCATCCTTTTGTGAAAATGCTGATAATGATTCACTAAATTGGTTTCATTATCCATCTGCACTTTTGGAAATGCTTTAACCAGACAATGGTCATCACAGGCCATAACAGGAAAGCAGGCTGACAGACCTCAGGTTTGGATGGGGGTGGCGGTACCCTGCATTGTCCTCTGCAGACAACTCTGTCGTAACGACTACCTCAGACGCTGCTGTTCCTGAAGGCAGCTTTGAATGGGCTGCACTTTAAACCTTTGTGGAGAAACTTCTCTTCTTGTCTGTCTCTAGAGAGTATGTAGGACTAGGGTCTTGGACCAGGGTCTGGTCCATGCATCACACTCCCTTCCAGGGCCCACAGAAGCCAGAAGAGCCAGGACTCCGTTACTAGGGAGACTGAATGGTCTCCCACTCAGTCCAGTGTGTGCTGTCCAGTGTGAACCTACTTCATATTTGCTGGGCTATGCAAACATTGAGTGGAGGGAGGCAAATGGGATTTGGAGGGACCCACCTGCCGAAGGCCTTCCCAATGGCTGAGGGCCGGGCCTCATAGTAGTATTGCTTGTATTCATCCATCCATACCTCTGCGGTACGCTTTGTATTCCTAAAAGCAGAGAAAGCAAAACCAAGTTACCAGAGAGGGGAAAGAGAGGAGGTAGGTTCTTACAGTTTTCAGGCCTGTGGTGCTGGGGGCTGAACCCATGGCCTCGTGTCTGCTAGGCAGGCATTCTGCCAGTGAGCTGTGACCACAGGCCTCCGTTAGCTACCTGAGCTGGTCTTGAACTCAGTCTGTAGCCCTCACAGGCCTTGAAACTTCTTCAATCCTCCTGCCTTAGCCTTTTGTTTGTTTGTTTGTTTGTCGATGAACAATGTACACTTAAGAAAAAGAAGATGAGCTCCGTGCAGTAGAGAGCAGAGGGAATGCCAGCAATCCAGGCGAACAACAAGGGCTGGGGGGCAATGAATCACCACAGTCGGTCTGGAGGGTGATCTGTCAGGACCTGTGACAGGCTCCCCACTCAAAGGGATCTCTTCTACTGCAAGATCTCTGATGTGCAAAAAGGGACACCTACGAGAATAGCTGCTTAGGAAAACACTGGCAGCAAAATAAATGCCCTTCAGTAGGAAAATGTTTCTATACAATGGAGAGTGAGGCAGCCCTGAAAAAAAAACACCAGGGCTAGGAAGGCTGAGGAGAAAGGATGGCTGTGGTATAATGCCAGAGAGGCATGCCGCTGGAAGAGTGTATGACGGCAACCTGCTAACGCAAATCCATTGGGGGCGGGGTGTCTCCATATACAGACTACACATGAGAACATGATAGAGCAGCAACCTACTCGAGCAGGTAGTTCTGGTTAAAGGCTTTAATGCTAAGGATACCCGTAATTGCTTTTGAAGAGATGAGTGGGCAAACAGGAGAGAGAATGAGTGGAGATGACTTTCGCTTTCTTCTGGAATCCTATAAAGAATAATTATCGCAAATGTGATGCTTAAATAACATCTGCATGTAAAAGTTGGTGTTGGTCCTGCCTGAGTGTCTGCAGTAAATCTATATGACTTTTACTCTAAAAATGGAATGTCAGGGGGATAGACAGGTGGCTTGTTGCTCTTACGGGGGACTTGGGTTCAGTTCCCAGCACCCACATGGTGGCTCATAACTATCTGTAACTCTAGTTCCAGGGATCTGGCACCTTCCTCTGGCCTCCTCAAGCACCAGGAATGAACATGGCATCCTACATACATTTGGGCAAATACATATATCCATATATAATATAGATATTTGTACCTATATCTATATTAGATATAGATATATGTATATAAATGGGGTAGGATGCCAGGTGTGGTGGCATATGCCATTAACCCCAGCACTCAGGAGACAGAGGCAGGTGGATCTCTGTGAGTTTGAGGCCAGCTTGGTCTACAGAGAGAGTTCCAGGACAGCCAAGGCTACAGAGAGAGAGCCCTGTCTTGAAAAAAAAAAAAATGGGGTAGGAGAAGTCAAACAAAACTTTCGGTCATTCGCTAATTAGATGTGGACAGCATTGCTCCAACCTATGCAAACCAGCACTGCTAGGCGAGGGGGAAACAGGTCCTTAGGAGGGGATGTGCACTCAGGACAGTTCCCCTTCCCCCCAACTCCTCCATCAGGACCATGGGTCATGGGCGGGTCTTCCAGGACACTGCTCACTCTCCTGTGAGACCAAGTGTACTCTGCAGCTGGGAACATGCATGGTAGGGTACTGGGCCCAGTCTACATGGAGCACTGGAAACCATGACCACCAACAGAGGGCCAATGAGGACAGCAATATGTTGGTCACCTGACCATTTGTCCAAGACTTGTGGACAAGGTAAATCAAGAGAGACGTAAGGGCAATGCTCCAATTTCATCCTCTACCCTCAGAAATGGCCCAAATGTCAGACCTAGGGCAGCAAATGGAGAAAGGGAGGCCTGAGATACAGGCTGGCAGCCCAAAGGCACATACATGGTGAATAACTAGCTGGAGGTGTCTAGAGTGAGGGAATCCCAAGCTTCCTCCAGGGTGTTTCCCATTGGGACCTACCTGATATAGGTGAGGGCATTGCCCTCGGGGAAATTGTAGGGGTGCCGCTTCCTGAAGACATGGCCCACCCGGCTGCAGGGTACAATCTCCAAGCTGCCACCGCACATCCATACCCTGAAGGAGAGTTCTGCAGGAGATGACAGTGTCAGGAGAAGGGGGGGGGGGTCCCTCCAGGTGATGGCGGGAAGGGGATGGATTTCTTTCTCTGTCTCCCTGAAGGTATATGCTGGGATGTGAGCTCTTGTGCCAGATAAAATGGGGGTGCTTACACTCCTTGTGCAAGCTCACATCATGTATGCATACATGCATGTGCATATACATGGCACACGCACATGCACACACACACACTCACACACACGAGAGCAGCGGAGAAAGCTTTGACGTAACAGGAACACAGGCAGGAGATATGCACAAATGCAGCATCTTTTCCAGCTTATGCATACAGGCTCCAGCCAGACGCGAGTTAGGAAGACCATGCTTGCTGGCTGACTAGATCTGAGCACCTCTGAGGGCCACCAGTGGAACTTCAGGCTGCTCTAGCTGTACCAGGCTGGCCCAGGCCTGCCTCTAGGCTCAGGGAGTGTGTGCCAGGCTACTCCTGATCTTCCTGAACTGCATTTCCTTCTGAAGGTCGTGGCAGAGTCGTAAGCGACCGAGGTCCCCCACTGGTGTCAAGAGATGCAAGAAGTGGCCACTCTGCTTCCCAGAGGGACATCATTTCCGTTTTCTACTTACCAGTCTCTTTTCCTCCACCCACCTGGCTGAGACTTAGTCTCCCTTCTGACTTCCTACTTTCTTTATATTAATTCTCCATTTGGATACTGCGTGGTGCTAAAATATCTCCTTCCTTGCACAGAAAATCCACAATTTACAAAAAAGAGAGGGGCTAGAGAGATGGCTCAGTGGTCACTTTCTGCTCTTCAGAGAACCTGAGCTCGAGCTCGGTTCCCAGCACCCACATCAGGTGGATCACAACTGCCTGTAACTCCAGTATCAGGGGATCTGATGCCCTCTTTTAGACTGTTTGCACTACACACACATACACACACACACAACACACACACACACACAAATAAAATAATCTGAAAGAGAGAAAGAGAAGGTGATGCCAGGCATGGTGGCACACACCTTTAATCCCAGCACTCAGGAGGCAGAGGCAGGAGAATCTCTGTGAGTTCGAGGCCAGCCTGGTCTACAGAGGAGTTCCAGGACATCCAGGACTACACAGAGAAACCCTCTCTTGAGAAAACTAAAGGAGGATGACCGTGTAAGATCCAATGCAAAGCTTCACAGCTTCAGAATTGCTGTTCCATTGTCACAGAAGGTCACTGAGAGGTGTAGATGTTGGTCTGGCTAATCTTGATGTGTGATGTTTACGTGTAAGTCCTTTACAATAAAGTTTTAATGGGGAGCTATGTTGCAGTCCCTGGACAAGTCTGGGGCTCTCACTGGCATGAAAGCTTGGGCCCCTCCCAAGGACTAATACTGGCCATGGTAATGTGGTTTCCTTAGGTCAGCCCATAAACTGCCAGACACCCATCCCCTTTCCCAGCCAGTTCTGCAGCTAACCTCGGCGGCTGAGGTTTAGAATTGGGGATAGATGACTAACTTTGTTATGTAAGTGAGGACACCTCATCTCACTCAGCCCATAGGGTACATACATGTTACAAATTAATATTATCTACAATGGCGATGACAGCGTCAGTAACCACCATCCACTTACTGAGTACCTGCTATGTACTGTGATGTGAGTGTCTGATTCTCACAGTAATCCAGAAGTCAGATATTACCTGTATCTTCCTGCATTCTCCCCATTCCTTCTCCTCTCCCTGTCCCCCTCTCCCTCCTTCCTTTCTTCCTTTCTGTGTATTTTGAGATAAGGTCTTGCTGTATATCCCTGGCTAGTCTGGTTTTCTCCATGCAGCCTGTAGTTCAGGCTGGCTTTAAACTCTCAGCAATCCTCCTGCATCAACACCAATGCTCGATTACTGTGTGTGCCATTTTTCCTTGTTTTATTTGATGGGGTCTATGTTGCTCAACCGGTCTTGAACTCCTGAACTCAAGTAGTACTCCTGCCTCATCCTCCCCAGTGCTGAGACAGAAGTGCACATCATTGAACCCAGATCTGTTTTTTTTTTTTTTTAAGCCTCTCTAAGGTCACTGGATTACTAAATTCCAACATTGCAATATAAAGTTCACACTCTGTCAAGCAAGCCACACATTGTTTTCTTTCTCTCTCTGACTTGTATGTGTGTGTGACATGCATGTGTTTGCATCTGTGTGGGCACAGGGGTTTAGGTGCATGTGTGTGTGCATGTGTGCGTGCATTGTGTATGTGCATGTGTGTGTGCATTGTGTGCACAGGCTCCAGGGGTTGATGTCCACAGTCTTCCTCCACCTCTCTCTCATTTACTCACTAAGACAGGGCTTCTCCCTATTACAGCTACTGGGACTAGCCAGCTGTCTCCAGGGATCCCACCTCTACCTTTCAAGGACTGAAATTACATGAGGGCCATTGCACTCACTTGGCTTTTATGTGGGCTTCAGGGATTTGAACTCTGGTTCTCACAGATGTGTGGGCAAGCACCATGTGCACTCCCTAACCCAAGCCACACTTGAGTGAAGTTCTTTCGTTCATTCGGCCAATGTTAACTGAGCATCTTTTTTATGTGTCATTCACTGTTCTGGATTCTCTTACATGTATGTGTGCACACACTCACATGTTTATGTGTGTGCATATGTGTGTGTGTAGTGGGGGCAAAGTTCATGAAAGTGGGAAACAAAACCCACAAGTAAACAAGAACATGTGTAGCATGTGGGGGCGACAAGTACAAGGAGAAAAATGCAGCTGGGTCGGGGGCTGAGCAGGACAGTGGAGCGGGGGTGGGCACACTACATTTTTAATTAGATTACTCAAGAATTTTTCTTATTTTGTTTTGTATGTGTATGGGTGTTTTGCCTGCATGTATGTCTGTGTACCAGATGCATGCCTGATGCTCGAAGAGGCCAGAAGAGGGTGTTAGATCCCCAGGGACTGGAGTTATAGACGGTTGTGAGCTGCCATGTGGGTGCTGGGATTCGAACCTGGGTCCTCTGGAAGAGCAGTGCTCTTAACCACTGAGCCATCTCTCTAGGACCTGACTTGAGAAATTTTCAACTGAAAGGGGGACACTAGAGCGGAGATCTGAAACAGGTCATGTAACTCTCAGGGGAAGGATTTTCCAGAAGGGCGTAAACCCAGAGGCACAGGCTTGGCCTGAGTTTGGGCATCAAAGGCCTGTGGAGACAGGGCCAGAGAAGAGAGAGATGAAGGTGGAGTTCATGCATGGGTTCCCAGGAAGAACCTAGGAGCCAGCAGGAGGCCTCTGGGTGTCCTGTGAAGGACATGGGAGTCCCTGCAGAGTTTGAACAGAGGAAGAAACCTAAGGTGACTTTTAAGGTTTTTGGATCTGCCAGCCCCACTCCAGGTGGCCTCTGAGCTCCTGCCTCTCAGGGGACACAGGAGCATGACTCGGTTTGGGTGGCTCCTGTCTTTCAACAAAGGAATAAAAAAAAAGCTAAAGCCATCAGAGATCGGAGTCTCGGGGCTCAAAACTGGCCCAGCAGCTGACCCTCTGAGGGCCACAGCCAGCCTAGACACTTCTTTGAATTTCTTCTGAGGAACAGAATCCTGGCCAGAACCTCTCACAGCTCTGCCTTTCAAGTTCCCCAGCCCGGGAGCCCTTGCCTTAGGCAGAGTTTGAAGTGAACTATTTGATCATTCACTGGTTTCTCTGTCAGTTCCCAGCCTGAAAAGAACAGAGAAAAGAAAGGAAAGGAGAAATGTCTACCTGCAGGAAGGCTGGGCCTTTTCCAGCCTGCTGGGCCTGCCATGGCTTCACAGCAAACCTGTTTTGCCAAAGCTGCCTTCCGGCGGAGACCAGGACACAAAGCAGGTCACTGGGACTCCAAATGCAGGAAATGGGATGAGGATGAAAGGGTCACTGTGCCCCAGCTCACAGAATTGACTCCTGTGAGTGCTGCCTGTACACTTTTGAGAGTAATCTGAGAGGAGAAAAATCCTGTGCCTATTTCCACTTAGTTAATTAGCCTCTCTGTGCACCTGTTTTCCTGGGGAGGTGGGAGAGGACACCTTAGTGAACGAGTCCTTAGTGAACACCCATGCAGCAGGGCCCTGCATTTGAACCCTGCTGGGGCCTGGCCAGATATACCCAGTCTCGTGCCCATTTCACCAGGCCCCTGGGAAGGAGGTCTCCCCCCTTCCTTGTTTTTGTTTTTCCCAAGTGAATAAACTGAGGTTCCCAAAGGTGACTGCTTCTCCCAGTGACCCAGACCACCTGTGCTGGAGCCTGGGCTCTGACCTCACTTGGTGACCTCTCCATGGTGCTCTGGGGCAGGAGAGCAAACCTCTGGCTCTGTTCCATCTCCCTCTTGCTGTTCCAGGCAGCCCAGGAGTTCTCATCTGCAGGGTTCTGATGGTCTCACGCACAGCAATAATGGCCACAGCTTCAATCACTACTCAACAAGCTCTGGAGGAAGCTGGGTCCCAAAGAGGTTCAGTTTGCCCAGAATCAAAAACAGATTGAAGAAGCCAAGCCGGGGCCTGCATCCAGGCCTTCCCTGCTCACACATGACCATTATGCCCAGTTGTATTCCTTCCTATCCCTTTTGGTAGAGAAACAGCCACGTAGTTAAGCTGTATTCAGTCATGTGTTCCTAACACACATGTCTGGCCATCTGGCCACATGCTCCCCTAGACACACTAAACTTTTTTGTCTACCTGAGTGGACCTGAACAAATAGCTCTCTGTGCCTGTTTGAATCAGTAAAATGGAGACAATTGCCTCAGAGGGTCCTTATGATGATTAAAGGTCTCAACAAGTGTCACATCTTTACAGACCAGGACCTCAAGTGTAGACTGCTCTCCATCTGAACTATTGGTATGGCTCTTGTCTTTTTACTGTTATTATTTATCAGCTCACCGAAATTCTCTCCTCCCCAGATGTCCATCTGGGCGTCATACTTCCCCAAGTGATTAAACCAGGACTTGTCAATCACGAAGATTCCTCCAGCTATAACAGGTGTCCTGGGGAGACAGAGAGGGAGGGTGCAACCATGAAACATGGAAACCAGGAACCTCTCTTCTGGCCCCAGCTCCCTACCTGCAGAGTCATTGGAGCAGGAGGGCTGGCCAGCTCTCAGGGCCCTCACAACTGCTCCCACGATCTCGGTCCTCTCTGTCTGATGGCCCAGACAGAGTCAGCACCTAGACTAGGAACCCTTGGGAGCCCTAGTGAGGATACACCCTCCCAAGAGCCTCCCAGACCCCTGATCCAGGAAGGAGAGAGCTTCCCAGAGGCCAAGCATTCCTGACCTGATGGGTTTGGTGGGATCTGTCCGGGTCATCTTCTGCTCCAGGGGGATCTGTTCCCACTTGAAATGCAGACTCCAGTCGAATCCTACAGGCAAAGCAGGGTGGGGGTGGGCTCAGGGAAGAGCCCACTGAGGGCTTTGGACCTTTTCCTCCACCCGTCAATCTCTTTTGATCAGAGCAGGGTGGTAGAAGCCACTATTCCGTCATTCAAATGGAGACATGTGCCTTCCTCACATGCTGTCAGCCTACTGACAAGACAAAGACTAACAAGTGTATGATGTGTCCACAGAGATTGACAGTGTGCTAAAAATGAAAACTAAGATGAGGTGTCCATATTATAATAAGGTTGGTCAGCAAGGCTCACCCACAGGTTGATTTTTTAGTAGGGATCTGAACGAAGGATGCAATCCATACAGACATCTGGGGAAAGGCAATTCCAGACAGAGGCAGCAGCAAGTGGGTGGCGTTCTGAACGAGAATGACACCAATGGGCTTATATATCTAAATGCCTGGCCCCCAGATGGAACCGTTTGGTAAGGATTAGGAGGTGTGGCCTTATTGGAGGAAGTGTGTCACTGGGGGTGGGGTTTGAGGTTTTAAAAGTCCATGCCAGGCCCAGTCAGCTACCTCTGCCTCTTGCTTGTGGATCAGCTGTAAGCTCTCGGTTACTGCCCCAGCACCATGCCTGCCTGCCTGCCTGCTGCCAAGCTGCTCACCATGATGGCTATGGACTAATCCTCTGGAACCATGAGCCCCAAATTAAATGCTTTCTTTTTTATAAGTTTCTTTGGTCATGGCATTTTGTCACAGCAATAGGAAAGTAACTGAGACAAAGTACAAAGACCCTGAGGTGACTTCTCAGACGGGAACTGGCTGGCTTCCCTTAGAATCTTACCCAACTCCAAGGTCTAACTCCTGGCTGGGTCCACTTAGTGGGTTACCCCAAGGAAGGACTGTCCCCCACGCCCCCTAGCTCCCAGTAACAGACTCTCAAGAGCAGTGGCATCCAACAGAACTTTCTGTAATGACAGATATGATTTGTATCTATAGGGTTCAGTGGGGACACCAAAACCTTGTGTGGCTGCCAAAGCCTCATGTGGGTTAAGCTCTTGATATGTAGCCAGGACACCCAAGGAATTTAACTGTAAATCTTGTTTAATTTTAATTAATTTAAAGAGCCACATGGGGCAACTGTCATCTGGATTGGGCAGCCCAATGCCAGGGTCCATACTTGTCCAAAAAGGATGATAAAACAAGTAAGCCACCAACTCAAAGCCACATACGCCACGTAAAATAGTCCAGAACGGTCTAGAGCGGCGGTTTTCAACCTTCCTAATACTGTGGCACTTCGATACCGTTCCTTACATTGTGGTGACCCCCAACCATAAAATTATTTTCATTGCTACTCTATAACTGTAATTTTGCTACTGCTGTTACAAATCATGATGTAAATATCTGATATGCGACCCCAGAGGGGTTGTGGCCCACAGGTTGAGAACCACTGGGCTAGAGAGATGGCTCAGCAGTTAGGAGCATCTGAGGTTCTTCTTCTGTGGACATTGCATGCACATAGTCCACATAAAATATTAATAAATGAATTAACTAATATTTTAAAAAACCAGTCCAGGAGTTACATGGGGGAGAAAAAAAGAACAACATGAGGTTAATTTGAATAAAACAGTCTTAAGACTGTCCATCTAAAACATTTCAAGCATGCAATCAATACAAAACACCCATGAGATCGTTTACATTTGTCCACACTAAAATCCTGCCCGCTCCTGTGGGTTTGATGTACTTAACAGCCCATAGCAAATCTGACCAGCTGCTTCAAGGCTTTGCTAGCAAATGTGGCGAGTAGCTGCTGGGACGCGCCTGTGGGATGTGTGTGGAGAATTCAGGCAAGGCCACAGGCTCGTGTCCTTCCTGTCCAGACAACGTCTGCTCTCCAGAAGACTCCCCCGGGGCCTTTGGCCAAGCGCCCTGCACCCGCAGTGCCGGGAGCGATGTGCCCATGATGAGGGGAGGGAATGAAGAATGACCAGCTAGCCCCACCTCTGACCGTGTGAGGCACTTCCAACCCAGGGCTCTCCTTGTCCCTCCTCTTGGGGGGGGGAGGGGCAGGGCGAGACTCAGGAGAGCCCTTGAACCCGGGCTTTTGCCTGCTTCCGCCCTGGCTCTTTTCAAGCCTAGACGCCCCTCGGAGGAGCAGGACCCACCTCCTCGGAGATCCGCAGATGCTGCGAGGTAGGCGAAATTGTCCAGGCTGATGACATCAATGATGGGGCTCACCACCCGGGTGTGGTCCTAGGAGGGGAGGGTGAGAAGGTGCGAGGTCAGGGACGTCTGCACAGAGCCCCACCCCGCTGCCTGCCCCGAAGAGGGAACCTCTGGAACACGGGGTGCCACAGCCTCCCCAGGCTCCTGGAAGACCCTAGGGGCTGGACGAGATCACCACACACCCAGTTCCAGGCACAGCACTACTGACCCAGCCTCTTCCTCCTGTGTCATTTTGATCCCTTCTGGGATGTCCCCCGCTGGGATGCCCTCACCATCACGGTCTAGACGGGACAGCCACTCAGCCGCTGTCTGTGCTGGCTGTTCTGCCGCAGGGTGGGCCCTTCTGGTTCCTGTTGTTCATCTCTCTACCTTCTGGAGTTGAGGCTCCCCAAATGGGCACCGACAGCTTAAGGCCAGGGACCTTATGGTCCCTGTATAACACAAGCCTCCCTGATTTCTTGAGTTGGGGTAAATCATGTTGTACACCCCAGGGAAAACCTAATCCCACTTGGTAGACCCTTTTAACACTCCACCGAGGGGCACAGATTAGAGCCCCCCCCCCCCGCCCCCTTTCGACTCCAATTCCCTCTTATCCGACCCAGATGTGATGATACACACTTGTTTACTCCAGCACTCAGAAGGCTGTGGCAGGAGGATGGTGTGTTCAAGGCCAGCCCGGGCTACCCAGCGAGACAACAATAACAAAGCCACTCTTCAGAAAATTCTCTTACACTCTAAAGGTTAAAACCACCTTAAAAGCTGATGATGAGAGATGGACAGGAATGACCACACAGGAGTTAGGAAAGAAGATACTAAATAGCCCTGGATGAAAGTTTTCTGCAGGGCGGTGGTGCCGCACGCCTTAAATCCCAGCACTCGGGAGGCAGAGGCAGATCTCTGTGAGTTCGAGGCCAGCCTTGTCTACAGAGCAAGATCCAGGACAGGCACCAAAACTACACAGAGAAACCCTGTCTCAAAATAAAACCAACAACAAACAAACAAAAAAGGAAAAGAGAAAAAAAGAGAGAGTTCTCCAGAGGAGAAGCAAGAAATAGCCAGTGAGAGCAGAGGTGGGTGGGGAAAAAACAATTCTCTTACAGAGTCTGGAGACTCTGTGGTTAAGAGCATTGGATGCTCTTCCATAGGTCCAGGGTTCAATTTCCAATACCCATATGGCAGTTTACAACTTTCTATAACTCCAGTTCTAGAGGATCTGGCACCCTCACACAGACATACATGCAGGCAAAACACCAATCAATATTGATAAAATAAAAATAAATTAATTTTAAAATTCTTTTTACATATATTTTTATCTGTCTAACTGCCCTACCTACCCACCTATTCATTCACGTGTGTGCACGAGCATGCCATATCATGCATGTGGAGTCCAAAAAATTTGAGTCAGTTCTCTTCATCTACCAGGTGGGTCCCAGGAATCGAACTCAGGTCCTCAGGTTTGGGGACAAGCAGCTTTACTCACTGGCTCCCAAGACCTGCTGTGCATAACTGGAAGTCCCTTAATTCGCACATGGCTCAGGTATTCAAAGCCTGGGTAGTGACCAGGGAGGTTGCCTGGAGCTTTTCTGTGCTCACCAGGGAACTAGATAGAATTAATGCACTACAAAATCGATATATCATATTTGAAAGTACAATTCAGAGGACTTCTATGTTCACACAGTAGACTAACTTTATTCACCACCTTATTCTAGAACTCTCTCTCTCTCTCTCTCTCTCTCTCTCTCTCTCTCACACACACACACACACACACAGAAACTAACCTACTTTCTATTTCTATGAATTTTCTGACTTTAGACCTGTTCTGCAGATGGCATCATATAATATATGGCCTTCTTGACTATCTTTCTTTCATCTCACAGGTTTTCAAAGATAATATACATTGTAACACATATCAGTACTTTATTTGTTTTCCTGGCTGCATAATATTCTACTATATGGATATACCACAGCCTTTTGGCTATTTTAGCAATGAGCACATGTATAGTCTTTGTGTAGTCATAATTTTTTTTCCTCCAGGGTTTATTTGAGCAGGGGAACTTTGCCAGGCTGTCCTCTAAAGTTCCTGCATTATGTCACACTCCCACCAGCACTGCGGGAGGGTTCCTATGAGCGCACATCCTGCCGGCACTTGCTATTGTCTGTTTGACTACGGCCATTCTTGCAGGTGAGCAGCACTATCACGGTGGGGCTAAGGGGCGCCCTTCCCGAATGGTGGACGGATTGAGCACTTTTTATGGGTGTGAGGTGCAAATCTTCTTTAAACAAGTGCTCTCTCAAATCCTTTGCTTGTTTTAGAAATTGGGCTGCTTTTCTCCTCTTTGTCTCCCCTTCCTCCTCCTTTCCTTCTTCCTCCCTTCTTCCTCTCACTATTTAGCCTGGGTTAGTCTGGACTCATGATCCTCCTGCCTCAGCTTCCCAAGTGTTGGGAGTATAGGCACACATCACCACACCCCATCACCACACCCCGCTGGGGCCATCTGCCTTCTCATGGTTCAGTTGTGCCTGCCTCATCCTTTTCTGCTATCCCATCCTGATGAACAGCAGACACATGCATGGCAGGGGCCTCCTGCTCCCTCTTCTTCTTTCTTGAACTCCAGTCTGGTCCTGTTTCCATCCGGCTTTCCAGCCTGACCACAAACTCCCCCTCCCAGGACCCTGTCTTTCTGGGGAGACGAGCGGCACCCATCACAGTCTGAGTGTCTTGGCTCACCTAACTTCCATGCAATGTGACTCTCACACCCGCAGTGGGGACAAATATGACAACTGTCCCCACTCTCGGGTGAGACAGCTAGGTGGGGTGGGGTCTCTCAGGGAAAGCAGACCCTGAGGCCCCCCACAATGCCGGCCTAACTCCTCAATGCCTGGAGCGCCGAGGGCATCCCCTGGAGGGGTCCAGCTCCCACAGACAGGCGACTCACCTCCATCACCCGCTGCAGCATGGGCTGCAGCCACTCCACGTTCACCTCGCAGTGGCTATCGAGAAAGGTGAGAACCGTGGCTCCCGCCACATCTGCCCCGCGAACCCGGGAGCGGATCAGTCCTGCGAGAGGAAAGGGAAGGGCTGAGCCAGTAGCCTACCAGTGTCCCCCCAAGTCCCAGGGCCCTCCCTGCTTCAGGGGCTGAGGTGCTGAGCTACAGTGGCTGGCCTCTTCTTCGTGCCTCCATATCTCCCCACACCCCCGTTCTTGTCTCCCTCACCTTCATGGTCACCCAGGGCCATTCCCTGAGTACCCTTGACGCTCTAGATACAGATGGGCAGTCAAGCTGAGTGAGTGGGGCTGGAGTTTGCTACTGACCGGGATGACAAAATCTATCCCCTTGAGACCCTTCGTGGTTCCCTCGGGCCACACAACCAGATGTGACGGGGAGAAAATCTTGACTTGAGTCTGTGTGCCAGCCCTTCACGCACTTTGAGTATGTTGTTTAACCTGTCTGAGCCTCCCTCCCTTCCCTTCCCCCTCTATCCCTCCCCCCTCTCCCCTCCACCCCTCCTTCCTTCCCTCCCTCTTCCATCCCTCCTTCCTTGCCCTTTCTTTCTCTCTTTTCTTTCTTCCGTCCTGGGGATCAAACACAGGTCTTGTACACGCTAGATAAGCATCCTTCCACTGAGCTATGTCGCCACCCCAAGCCTCCGTTTCTTACCTATAAGATTAAAAACCACATAAGCCAGCCTGTCACAGCGGAACAAGGAGAGCGCCTGGTACCTCAGGACCTACGCGCCTTAGGTTTTTCTCTCTCCTGTCTCCGTTTCCTGCTGTGGGATGGTCTGTATGTCAAATGTGTTGCTCTAATTGCTCAATAAATAAAATACTGATTGGCCAGTGGCTAGGCAGGAAGTATAGGCGGGACTAACAGAGAGGAGAAAAGAAAGAACAGGAAGGCAGAGGGAGACACTGCCAGCTGCCACCCCAACAAGCAGCATGTGAAGATGCCGGTAAGCCATGAGCCACGTGGCAAGGTATAGATTTATGGAAATGGATTAATTTAAGCTATAAGAACAGTTAGCAAGAAGCCTGCCACGGCCATACAGTTTGTAAGCAATATAAGTCTCTGTGTTTACTTGGTTGGGTCTGAGCGGCTGTGGGACTGGCGGGTGACAAAGATTTGTCCTGACTGTGGGCAAGGCAGGAAAACTCTACCTACAGTTTCCTGATGGCTTCCCTAACTGCTCACTAACTGGCTTTGCTGTTGGCCCTTCTGCCGAGGGCTGGGGGTGCGGAGGCCGGAGTGGGGGCAGGGGGGGGGGCTGTCTGTCAGGATAGCAGAGGCCCAGCTGGTTCTGCCCTGGTCAGAGCAACCACCCATGTCCTGTGAGCTGTGGGAAGGGAAGGGCCTCATGCTGAAACCTCTGGATAGAGGCCACTTTCTGGAGAGACTTCCCTGACCACACCTTTGCTCATCACTCTGCCTCTAACCAACCAACTGCCCATCAGTCCAAAGGGCCCGAGTCCCACCTTTCTACTTAAAGGTACAGGGAAAGCATCTGCCGGTAAATTCTCATTCACTGTTGGCAAAACCCCAGGACAACTTATTCCCAAGCCTGACAGTCCCTATTTTAGTGGCTGGAGAGGCATTTCTCTTGAAGACTTCACTCACCAATATCCTTATGGCTCCTAGGCTTAAATGGCCTTTCTTATATAATACCTAGCACATATTTATTTCTCTCCCTCTGGCTCCCTGTTATCTGCCGTATCAATTCTAAGAGTGGTCTTCTGGCTTTTCAAGGTCTGCTTTCATTTCAACCCACCCTCTACTGCCCCCGTTGACCAGGCCTGGGTTCTCACAGAAAGGAAGAGTACAGAAAGGGACTAAAAGACTGGCCTTTGATATGTACTCACTCATAGGTGGATTCTAGATATAAAATAAAGAACAATCAGACCACAACCCATAGAACCATGGAGGCTATATATATAGCATGGAGGTCCCTAGGATGACTGTGGCTTATAATAAATTTCGGTTTTACTCAATTATTGAAAAAAAAATAGCCAAACGAATGGAAACACATGAACTATGAACCAAAGGCTGAGGGGCCCCCAGTTGGATCAGGCCCTCTGAATAGGTGAGACAGTTGATTGGCTTGATCTGTTTGGGAGGCATCTAGGCAGTGGGACTGAGTCCTGTACTCAGTGCATGAGTTGGCTGTTTGAAACCTGGAGCTTATGCAGGGACACTTGGCTCAATCTGGGAGGAGACTGGACCTCCCTGGACTGAGTCTACCAGGTTGATCTCAGTCCTTGGGGGAGGCTTTGCCCTGGAGGAGATGGGAATGGGGGGTGGGCTGGGGGTAAGAGGAGGGGGTGGGAGGGGGGAGAACAGGGGAACCCGTGGCTGATATGTAGAACTGAATGGTATTGTAAAATAAAATAAAAGGGGAAAAAATATATATTAAAAAAAAAAAAAAAAAAGACTGGCCTTTGAGGATGTCTCCCAGGCCGGAACCCTGGCTCCTCTATTCACTACCTTTGGTAAATCACAACACCTCTGTGTTCTCCGTTCTCCAGGCAGAACAGGAACAATGGCTGTCACGGCTAAGTTGGAGACTGTCAGCCAAGCCCATGCCTGCCACAGTCCTCCAGCCAAGAAGGGCTGCGAGCACCGTGTACCTGTCAGCTCCTGCCTTCGGCTGCGGTGTGCTCGTGCTCGGCCTGCCATGTCCTCCCTTGCTCTCCGTCACCTGTCTCACGAGGCGCCGGCTACTCCTCCCCACACTGAGGCCCGCTCCTCCACAGACATCCTTCCTGCTCAACCCGCTCCCTCTCCTCCATCTTCACACTTTTCACAGAGGCATAACCCGCCTGTGGTGAGGGTCATTCTGATCCCCTGGGCACAAACTAAACATTCCTAGGACAGGAACCGTGCTTGGGGCTTCTCGTGCCCCCTAGATGGCTGGACACTACACTGCGCTATCACGGATGCTCTGAACCACCCTTTGATTGATTGGCCATGCCTTTCTCCTTCCCTTTGGTTTTCTCAGAGCCCTCCACCACTAACCTCTTGTTCAATCTTATAGCAACCTTGGAAGGCAGAAAAGTGCCAGCACTGCCCCATTTCTCAGAAGAGACAACCAAGGCAGCCAGACAGGCTTTAGGATAACACAGTGCCCAATGGGAGTGGGGGAGGTGAGAAGATCGCCATGACCCAGCTCCAGGGTAGGAACTCAGATCCAGCACTCACCTTCCCGCCTGTCATTTCGAAGGCACTTGACCTTGGGGATCCTAGTCAGAAGCAAGCAGTCTTCAGCTGAGGGCAAAGGGGGGGGTAAAACAAGCTCATTTAGATATGGGCATCAGATCATCCTGGCTATCAAAGCTGAAGGGTAGCCCTGTCCCCACTCCTTGGCCAAGTGAGGAACACCAGTGCCTAGGAACCCAACTCTAGCCCAGCGGGCACCAGAGAGCACCTGCCATATTTAAAGGGACTCTTCTTCCTATGTAACTGTAAAGGATGCTGTGGATATTGTTCCAAGGGGGTGTGTGTGTCTGTGGATATTGTTCCAGGGGTGTGTGTGTGTGTGTGTCTGTGTGTCTGTGTGTATGTATCTGTGCAAGTGTGCTTGCCCGTGTGTGTAGGCATGGAGGCCAGAGGTCAACCTCGGATGTCTTCCTCTTTGTTCCTGACCTCTTGACCTTATTTTCTGAGACAGCTTCTCGCATTGCACGTGGAGCTCACAGTTTAGGAGACTGCCCGGCCAGTGAGGCACCCCCCACCTACCTATCTCCCTCCTCTGAGCACCGGGTGGCAGATGCACACTCTGGCACTTGGCTTTTTATACGTGGGTGCTGCATGTCTAAATTCAGGTTCTCATGCTGTTCGATCAAGCGCTTTATCTACCGAGGCTTCTCCTCACCCGCCCCCTCGTTTCAGCTTGTTTGTTTGTTTGTTTTAATATCATATCACGAGTGTATCCTTAAACAGTGCCATTCTTTCCCTTTGTTGGGGGCCAGGATGGGGAAGCGTCCTAGGAAAGACCAAAGACTCCCTTCTTGACAGAGAGGTCAGTGTGTGAGGACCAGGGTGGCCACAGAGAGCTCATCTCAGCGTTTCGGGGGAACAGATAGGGCGGGGCGTGGAGGGGCACACCACCGGGAGATGAATACTTACGGTCGGAACTGAAGTCGTCCACCAGAATGATCTCCTGGATCAAGCTTGCAGGAGTGCGGTTCAGAACACTGGAGCGGCAGTGGGAACAGAACACTGGAGCCAGCCGCTCTTACACATCCCTGGAAGAGCCCCTCCCACCATGGAGGCTCCCGCTGCCTCCCCCCCCCCCGCCCCCCCGAGGTTGGGAAGGGTGTCTGTCTTTCTCTCTCGGGGAAAGGCTATCCAAGCCAAGAAGTGCCACTGGGCACCCCTTGGGAAGTGGGACAGGTGCAGGTTAAACTTGCCCACCGGCCCAAGCTTAGATGGGGGCAGCAGGGGCGTGTCTCTCTGATTCTGTAACAGGCACCTGCTGTGTTGATAACTTCCTAAGGCCTCCTGTCCATCGCTGCCTCCCTCCACTCAAGAGACTGCTGCAGGTCTAACCCTCATTTGACCTTGGGTTTGCCTGCTGTGGCCTTCCCGGGTCTCCCAGAACATTCACCAGGCCTAGCATCTCAGAAGGACAGGTCTTACCCTCCCCGTGCTCACTGGTTTCCCCCCCCCCGCTGCCTGGACACCATCCCTAGCAACGAGGTCCTGTCTAGTCAGGAACTCCACGGGCCACCCGAGAGACCTCATGGGGCAGAGCCACGGAGATGACAGCCCGTGGGGGTGAGGGTCTCACCTCTTCACGGTGCGCAGGAGGGTGGAGCGAGCCTCGTTGTGGAAGGTGATGATGACACTGGTGGGCGGCAGGTCCGAAGAATAGGACAAGGAGGGGCAGCTGGGAAGAGAGCGGGAGTCAGGGACGAGCTGTGGGGTTAGGCTTAGGCAGGTCCAGCTGCCTTTTCTGTATCCACTCTGCTGTGCCCTGGGACAGCTCTAAGGCCAGAGAAGGATACAGCCTACCTCCCACAACGAGATGCTCCATCCCACATGGACCCAGCACCCACATGCAGCTTGGCCCAGGGGGCCCAGGAAGGAAGCGGCAGATGGAGGGGTCGTCCCAAGTCTGGGGCGTTCCATGCCAAAGACCTAAAGCACCAGAGCGCGCGCGCGCGCGCGCGCGCGCGCGCGCGCACACACACACACACACACACACACACTGCCTCTTGGGGAGGGATGGGGTTTATGTATAGGCCCCAGGATACAGGCGGGAGCCAAAGAGCAATATGGCTGATGGGACAGGCCAGCGGTCCAAGGTGGTGGAGGGGGAAAAAAAACCACCCTCCTTTTGCCTTCTCACACCCTGGTGCTTTTTTCCTTCCTGTCTCCCAGCTCTGGTAGGATCTGGCCAGAAATTCCTCCCACTCTGCCTGCAGGGTGGGAGTAGAGAGACTTCCCTCCCTTCTCCTCCCTAGCACTAACCAGCTCTGCAAGGGCCCTCAGACTACAGCAGCAGCAGCAGCTAGCCCGCAGGATAGCCACTTCCCAGAAGACACCAAGGGCAGTTCCTGCCAATCAGCCCCCGCCTCAGCAGCCCTGGGCTCCCCCACCTTCAGTACCCTGTCTTTGGACACCCCCCCACGACCCCCGGTCCTCAGGAAGGGGAATTTAAAATCCTCATTCTGTCAGCCTTCCTCCCTGTCGCTTTCTGTGAATGTATTCATTCCGGGGCCCCACACCGCTGGAAGGCAGCCGCCTCCGCTGGTTTTCCTAAGCGATGTTCTTTATTACAACCGCTCCAGACAACCCCGGCAATGACTATTTTTTCATTACAGCGTTCACTCCGCTGACAGTTGCCCACAGTCTGAATTCCCAGGCCCATATTCTGCCCTGCAGAGGAGCCGGGTTAGACAGGCATGGAGTCCCGCTAGGGTGAGACCTCAGGGAAAAATCCCAAGGAGCTTTCAAGTAGCTCTCCTTGAGGGGGCTGTGGGGGAGGGCTGCTCTCTGCCCCCAGAAGCCAGGCTGTCCAAGTGCCTGTTCCCAAAAGGGCAGGGGTCAGGGGGACTGACTTGTGCTTGACTAGCTGAAAAGGAACCTCCTCCTGGTGCCAAGCCTCGGAACACAGACCTGGGCCCCAGTTCTCTGCGCTTGTCCCCTAGCCATTAGATGTCTAAGGAGAGAGACTGGATAACGACGTCTTTCTCTCCTTGAAGGAGGCAAGCCTCCCACACTTTTCTGGAAGGCGGGCTTGAACTTCTCACGGCGGGTAGGGCTACCCAATTCCCAGGAGCCAGGAGTCATCCAAGAGGCTGTCCCATGCCTATGTTTGTGGAGGTTTTCTCATGGTCCTAACAAGTCAGTCTCGCGTAGTTTGTTTCCCTTGACAAGAGCACCCTAGACAGAGGCCAGGAGCAGGAGCTAGACTGCAGCAGAGTCCAGCAGAAGCGGAAGGCAGGGTTTGCACCAGCACACTGGCTCTATCAGGCCAGCACCTCCTTTGCTCTCCCTCTGCAGGAGTGTGCATGTGCACACACACACACACACACACACACACACACACACACACACACACACACCACGATCCACCTCAGCCCTCCGAGAGGGCCCAGCAGCAGCACATGGCACCTCATCAACCCACCACCACCCTGGATATGATCGCTCCAGCACCATTCGGTCTTTTAGCCATCAGAGAACAGTGACCGAGGAGGTCAAGGTGGGGTGCAGTAGGAAGGTGGGCAGAGATGGTCCAGGCCAAGCCCTCAGTTTACATATGAGGTCAAGGCATAGATTCCCCAAAGACCTGATGCCTAGGTTAGCCATGATGAGGGCTGTCCACCAAAGGCCTTGAAGAACAGCACATGAACCTATCATTGCCTCAGAGGGGAGAGGGGAAGTTGCCCCCAGGCTGGCTGACAAAGGACTTACTTACACACAGGAAAGAAGCCACGAATGTCTGCTCAGCACTTGAGAACTGAAGCAGGGAGTGAGTTGCATGCTCATGGCTAGCCTGGGGTACATACAGTGAGTTCCAGGCCAGCCTGTGCTAGTGTAAAACCTTGTCTTGCACCCCACCACCCCACACACACACACACACCCAGGAAAGGAAAAGGGGGAAAGAAGGACACAGGAACATCCCATGCTAACTGAGGGGTAGATGAGACCAGGCACGAGGGACCGGGTCTCTGCGGAAGGAAGAGGATGAAGGTGACGGCAGGAAGTGGGAAGAGGTGGAACACATACTCTAGATAGGATAACATGGGAAGAACTCAGGAAGAGGGTTGCTGCCTTGCCGGGGTCCAGTCCCACTGAGCTGGGGACTTGGGGGAAGCCTCACTGACCCTGGTCTAGGATGTTGCCCACCTCCCACAGAAGAACAAGGAACAAGACCGGGCTGTATCTGCAGGAGCTGCTGGGGGAGGGCGGAGGGAAGGAGGAGACAGGGTAGCTGTGCACAGCCTTTCACTGCCAAAGGGGGCAGGGCTGAAGACGCCCTTCAGCTGTGGCGCTCACCTCCTCGGACATGCTTGAAGTTCCCTGGCAGGCTATCCTTGCTGGGATGCCTGACCGAGGGACCGGAGGAGCTCTTCTGGCTCCAACTGGGGGTTTCCTTGACCTTCTCACTGAACCACAGAGGGCAAGAGAGTGCTAAGGGTGAGGTCGACTGAAAGTCTAAGTCACTAGATGGAGAATGAGGGTGTCTTCCATATTTGTAAAAAAAAAAAAAAAAACACGTGATTTGCATGTGTGCATGTTCACACACAGAGAAAGACATGGATAAAATAAATAAATGTAAAAAAAAACCAATAAAGCATACACAAATAAAATAAAAACCAAGCCAAACCACACTGGTCTTTTCTCAGCCCTTCCTTCCAGTGGATGTCCTACCTGTAGTGGCGGGTGTCCCGGATGGGTCGGTCCGGGCTCAGCTTGTCACTCTCCAGCTGGTTGAAAGCATGCTGTCTGTATGGGTCCTCTCCAGGCTTCAGCTGCTTGGCTGACAGGTACGCCTTCTCATCAAAGCCTTTGGAGGGTGTTCCTGTCACCTGAGACAAAGCTCAGCATCAGAGAAGGCCCAGGCAGGAGGTGGTGGTGACTGGAGAAAGATACAGTGAGTCCACGCCAGGAGCGTGCCAGTGGGGCCCTCTCATCTCTACCCCGCCTCCCTTAGAGAACCAGTAAATTATAAATCTGGATCCAAACTAGCTGTTATTATTTTTTTTGGGGGGGTGCACTTGCTACTGTGCATGTATACACGTGTGTGGAGGCCAGAAGATGGTGCTGGGTACTTTTTGAGACACCGAATCTGAACCGATTCGGCCATACAGGTTGGCCAGTGAGCTTCAACTTGTCTCTGCCTCTCCTGCGCTGGGGTTACAGGTGTGTACCACTACGTCCAGCTTCTTTATTCTTTTCTTTTCTTTTTCTTTCTTTTTTTTAATTTAGGTTCTGGAGGTCTGATTTAAGGTCTTCAAGCTTTGTGTGGCAGGCATGCTATTAGCTGAACTATCTCCCTGGCACCCAAACCGGCCCTGGTTCTAAAGCCAATGCTCTCTGCTGGATGTGGAGAGGGTATTTCCCAGAGAAAACTCAGTCACCTGGGATGAGGTGTTTTAAGGAGACTAGAAACTAGAGAGGGTACTCTGCAGATGGACTGTCTCCTAAGAATGCACTTGAGGCTGGCCCTGGGTTGGGCACATACAGGCTGCCTGTGGATAAGAGCTAGGGCTCGGACAAGCTGCTGCAGAGAGTTCCCATTCACATCAAGCCATTACACGCTAATGCCCCAAGCCGGCTGGACCAAATGTGTTAATACAGTGCTGGAATTCTCTGCCACGTCTGCTCGCTGCTTCAGTGGCCCCACGTCCGAGGCACTGGGCCCGCTGGTCTAAGTACTAGAGAGAGAGAGGGATTACTGATGGACCCGCCTCATACTCCTTAGCCACACCCGACTCTGTGCAGCCAGAGTCCCCAGGTACAGGGGATGACACATCAGAGATGAATGGATGGATACGTGCATCCTGACATCTCATCATTGGAACCAAACTGCAAGCCAGATGTTTCCAGGAGGGCTAAGACACTCTCAACTGTGGCTGCATCCCAACTCTAAATCGGCCCAACCAACAGCCCTGGAGGGAGCAGAAAAGGGAGCAAGAATTGTCCACTCACAGATCCAAAGACCGAGGACCGAGGTAGCCTCATTCTACCTTTTAAACAATTCTTTATTGATTCTTTGGGAATTTTACATCATGTACCCCAATCCTGTTCACCTTCCAGTCCCTCTGTATCCGCCCCTCACCCCTGCAGCATGCCCCCCAATTAATTAAAAACAAAAAATACCAACCAACCAACAAACAAACAAAAAAACCACCCTGCTCCGCCATCTTTCTAACACCTCTTCATTCGTCCTAGTGACATCGGGAGCGGTGGTGTATCACGCAGTATAACCTTTTGGTCCAGTCAATCCCACCCACAAAATGGTCCTCGCAATGAGTCATTGGTCTAGCCTCTGGCACACCATCATCACTGGACCCTCACTGAAACTCCTCTCAGGTGTCCTGCTGTGGCCGTAGTCATGGAGATCCTGCTGATACCATTTGGCAGGACCAGTCCCTTCACGCACTCCAGCAGGTCATAGATGGGGTAGATGTTAGCGTGGGCCAACCCGAGGCCCAGGATATGAGTCCAGGTGGTAGCTGAGCTGGTTGGTCTGGGCCACCGGGACTGTCCCCATCGGGCGAGGGGCAGAGCCAGCTCTCCTTCGCCCGTGGTGAGGGGTGGGGCCATCTCTCCAAACATGCCTCATTCTAGAAGGGTGGCCTCAGTATAGCGGCGGAACCCGTAGAAAGGGGGTCTATTTTGTAGAGTGACAGTCAGGTGTTTCATCAGCGGATCAAGGTATCCATGTTCCCTTGACAGCTTGCCCTCAACCTCCCTGGAAGAAATGCTGAAAGATCTGGAAGGCCCTAGCTCCTAAGCGCTACCCACTCTGTGGCACTGCCACGCTCTCCAGTGGCCTCTTGTCCTAGGAGCCTGCTTGGGGAGCCTAGGGTTCCGAGGGCAGATCCGGAGAGGGAAATCTTATTTCCTCCAGGCCTTGTCCCAAGCTGGGTTCATCTGCTTACAGTGTCCGCCCAGAGGTGGCACAGCTGTGGCCCTGACATTCTAATATTCTGAGTCAGCACCACGCCAGGAAATGAACAGAAGCAGCAGGTACCCCCCACCCCCACCCCCGTGGGCTCAAAATCCATTTCAGCCAAGAGAGGAGGTAAAGAGGAAGCAGAGAGAGGGGGGAAGGAGTGTTCTGGCTTGGGCCCTGAGTTTCTAGATCCTGCCTCAGCTCTGAGAGTGAGAATGGAAAGGCAGTGGCTTGTGTCCTTCCCACCTGGGACAAGGATGGTGCTGACGCTGGTCCCTCCTTCCCCCAGCTCTGCGTCAGGGGAGTGGAAAGAAGCCGCTAGCTCGTGGCTGAGGAGCTAAAATTAAAGACAACCACAGAGGAAGAGTTTTTCAGACTCCCAAAGGGAGTGTTTATCACCTCATTATCCTGAAAGCTGCCTGGGGGGCAACAGCCATGCTTATTTATTCAGGACTTTCAGCCACTCTGTGGGCTTAGGAAACCTCTGAGCCTGATCCCATGCTCACCTCCTGCTCATTCGACACTGACTGGGAGCCATGTGCCTACCTGCACCCCTCCTAACGTGCAGGGCTCGGGATCACTTGGGCTTACGTTTATGAATGTCTGAATCTACCGATTCACTCACTCATTCACTTCTCCAGTCCCCAGAGCACCGCCCGGTACCGGAAGAGGGAAGGACACTTCTGAGATTGCTCCTTGTCAGCTGCCTTCCCATGTCTCACCCAAAGCCTCCTCAGGCCTCAGAGAATGTTCTGGAAGAATGCCCAGTTAGGCTAAAGCCCTCTAGAAAGGCCTCTCAAGTTAGTCTCAAAGTGTTCTTCAGAAATGTCTTCTCACACAACCCAGAGCTACTGTGTGGCCTGGTCCAACTCCGTATGGACCAGGGTCTGGGGTGAGACCCTCTTCCTGAGAGGGTTTGCAAAGAAGGAAGCCACAGAACACAGACCCACTCCTCCCCAGAGGTCTCTGCTGTCCCAGCAGTCCCCCGGGATGTGGCTGGAACATCAGTTGTCCCTGAACCAACCAGGTGAAGGGAGACTGAGGAAGGTAGGATGTGCCTTGTGGCAACACCATGATCTCTGTAGGGCTTCACTTTCTTTATCCTCAGACCACCCCCAGCTGCCATCCAGATACCATCCCAGCCTTTCCACTTCCGATGTCGAACTCCTAGTTCGGCAGCCCAGACCATTACTCACTCATTTCCTTGTGGCTCTCCGACTCCTGCTTTGACCTCTGATCTTGAGACATTCAAGCCTTTCCAGGTTCTGTGCCTCTAAAATCGCGTCTCCATAAGTCTCTTCATACTCCACACGCTTCTCTGTGCTCCCTGTAGCCGAGACAGGTGCTTCCACCTCTGTCTGCCAAGCTACAAATTCAGGGTCATCTTGGTGCCACCGCCACGCTCTGCAGTCTAATTTAGACCTCTGCCTTGGATTTCTCAGTGGTACCCTACGGCTGTACCACTGGCACTAATACACCAAGTACTGTGAGAGGCGGGGGATACAGAAGTAGAAATAGAGCTGTGAGGGTGGCCTGGTTGGTAACGGGCTCGCTTAGCAAGCACAAGGACCTGGGTTCAATTCACAGCGCCTGTGTAAAAAACTGGGTGTGGCTGTGTGCCCTTGCAATCCCAGTGCTAAGGAGGTGGAGACCGGAGGATCCCTAGGGCTCACTGGACAGACAGTCTAGCTTAATTGGAGAGCTCCCTGCCAGGGGGAGACCCTGTCTTAAAGCGAGTTATGCTCCAGCATCCCCACACATGGGCATATTCATTTGCACACACACCTTGCCCACCAGTACCCAAATATACATACATAATCATAATCATTTTAAAAGGCTTTTGGCCAGCAAGATAGCTGAGAGGGTAAAGGAACTTGTCACCAAGCCCGACAATCTGAGTTCGATCCCTGGAACAGGTAAAGACGGAAGCAGAGAACAAACTCCACAGAGTTGCTCTCTAACCTCCACATGTGTGCTGGGGCATGCACACCGCCCTCCCCCCCCCCCCAGCAACTAATTCAAAAAGAGAATGAGCAAAAGGAAAGAAACACAGAGCAGGGCAGCCCCCTCGAGAGGCACCTAGTAGCCATCTGGTTCTTTTCTTGTTCACCTCATGATAGGCATGGCTAAGGAGGGTCATGAAGAAGAAACCTACTCCAAGGCAAGGATTTATAGCAGAGCGGCTGGTGAGATGGCCACAGAACCTGGCCGCACAGCAGGCCAGCTGGGCAGTGACCACGCTTTTTCCCGCCTCTTCCCTCCTACAGGGGAACGCAGTGACTATCCACGCTTCTATCCCCCTGACTTCTCAAGCACAGCAGGGGTGAGGGGAAATGCATCTTTTGGTCCTTGGCTACAAGGCCATCGGGAGCTATCACCCGTCACCCGACGAGCCTGAAACTGCAGGTCCTGGGCATGGAGCCGTTTCCAGAGCAGGTGAGGGCGCTGTACCATGTGTGGAATTCTTAGGTCAGCCTGGGCACCTATCACGGGACACTGACATTTGTGCTCTTCTACTAAAGTGAGGTGCTAACGGATGGGGAGAGCCTCATGGGCAGACGACAGTTACTGAGGGAGAGAGGACTGTTCTTCTTTGAGGGTGCAGCCATAGGTTACCCGTGTTCCAGTGGACAGCCCCACAAATGTGTACAGTGATGATTGGACTCCGTGAATTATTTGTTTAAAGAGGACATAAAGTTGGGAGGGGGTGTTTTGGAGAGCAGGGGGGGGAGGTGAATGGGGGGTAAGATCAAAATCTATTGAATACATATATGAAATTGTCAAAAAATAAATAAACAATGCTATTTTTTAAGTGCTGCTCATTGCCAGGTGGTGGTGGTGGCGGCGGCGGCGGCGGCGGCGGCAGCAGCAGCAGCAGCAGCAGCAGCAGCAGCAGCAGCGGCGCAC